GGCCGGTTGGCAGGTGTTATTGGTGGGGTTGCGGGGGTGAAGGTATCTTTATTTTTCGACGCTGTCACCGTGTCAAGCTCCCGCTCAACATCCTTTCACTTCCCCTCAAGCAAAGAGGCGAGTGTTAAATAGTCCAAAACGCGAGCGAGAACATTGACAACCCACCCATCAAACCTATCAAACCTACAACCTCCGAGTCGCCTCGCCTCTCAGAAGACTCGAAGTCCCCTGTATATGGCAAGAAAGCCCACTGCCCCCGGCGCCTGCTTCTCACTGGGTCACTTGGTAGGGGGGATTGGAAATTGGAAGCGTGGGTGGGAAGGAAAGGAAGTCCGTGTTCAATCAAGTTTGCTCTACTTGCTAGGACCCGAGGGACTCGTGGACCTGCAGCTTGGGGAGGGGAAAGGAAGGAAGGTCTGGCTAAAAGCAACGGGGAGGGGGATGGAAGCGAGGAAGCGAGGCAGAGAAGGGAAACGGAAGGAGGGAAACGGAATAGAAGAGCTGAGAGAAAGGAGGGGGGAAGGGAGCGACGTGGTGCGAAGCGATTGGGCCTACCCTTCGCCTTGGCCCTCTCCCTCGAGTCCGCGGTTGGCTGTTGGTCACTTCGGTAGGTGGGGGTTGTTATTGCATTATCGAATTTATTTGTGCCCGTCCCGTTCCCCCATCCAACATTTGCCCCCCACAGAGAACCAACGTTACGGTTACACAAGTGCACAATGCACTACGTCTCCCGCGAAGGCTCTGAAGCGCGGTGCAAGCTCAGACCCCGCTTGCATTGCCCCTTCCTATTCCTGCTTACTGCTTCCCGTTCTGGGCCTGGAGACTCGGGAAAGCTTCGCGGGTAGCTCGACAGCTGGGTGGGGGTGCACGAGACGATCGCTGGCTATTGGTGGTATTTAGGTAGACTGACGACCGTGGTAGGTAGGTCAGTAGGTAGGTGGGTGGGTGCAGTGTCGTGATATGTTTAGGCTGAACGTATCTTCTAGCTTCTTCCTTTCTCTCTCTATTCCTTTCCTTTCCTTTCCTTTCTCTCCAACCCCATGTCCATTTTTGCTCTTGCTATCATTGCTCCCATCCCATCACACCTCCCACCCCATGCCCCGGCCGCTGATTTGCTTGGTTTTCATTCCTTCCCCACGACACACGACACACGACGCATTGAGGAAGAAGCGTCCGGGGCAGATCACTCCTCATAGGCCTGACTCTTTGATAGGACGACGATACATCCCTCGCTACCTATGTAAATAATAGCCCCCTCGATTGAGAAGTTCTCCTCCCGCGAAAGGCGTAGACGTGCGCGTGTCAACATGTCAACATGTCGAAGATAGAAGATGGCCATGGGTGAGCCTGGGGGGATATCACGTTCGGATTTTGGCAAGAGTTGGTGTGGGGTTTCTTCTTCTTTCGAGGAGTTCCTGGTGGTGAGTATGTCCTTTGAGTCTCTCACTTTTTTTCTTCGAAAGGGTTTGGCGTCGAAGGGGTTCGTACGTCCGTTTGCTCCTGCTCCTTATCATCCTTCGAATTCCAATTCCACACGGGGATCTACATCCGAGCCCTAATTTCTCATACCTCATACCTCGAATTCTAGTTGATGTCACCCGAGGACAGTACTACTGCGAATTCGAATTCCTTACATTCGGTTCTGATACAATATCAATATCGGGTTCTGGCTGATACTGATACCTCCCGCGTACGCGACTGGTTCCCTCACCTTTCGAAGATCCAAACATCAGCGCTCGGAGACAAAGAACTTTCCTAGATAATGCTGACAATAATGTATAGGCACCCTCGGTCCCTTGCGCTGCCGCACCCGGGCACCCTAACACGCGTAGCTAAGCGCGTACTGGACTCGGATGATATCATGTGCATGTGCATCTGGGATGGGGGGCTTGACTCTTCCGTGTCGGGATTACTAGTCCTCTACTTTCTCCCTTCTACTCTTAGCAACTACTGAGCACGCATTGGCATTGACAATGATCATTCTTTGCCCGCATATGTTTATTAGCGAGGGCGCTCGCGGCGGAGCTCACTCCCAACCTCGAACCTGGCCCCAACCCCCGAACCCGATCTCGGAAGCGCAGAGTACTCGGCGTGGAGAGGTCGCACATTGCGAACAGAGAAAAGGCACCGGGGCCGAGTCGGAGGGTGCGACTCGGAGGGGGGTGAGAACGTCGACGATGATAGACGAGGAATAAACGACGGAAGATGGAAGATGACGGTGGGAGATAGACGAGGGGAGTAGACGCGATTGATGGAACTGAAGGAAAACGATGGCGGAAGAATAAACGAGGGAAGATGACGGTGGAAGATGAGAGGAAGAAAGGACAAGCGAGGGGGGTGCGAGTCGGAGGGTGCGAATTAGATCTGTCGGTACAAGTGGGTTGGAAGCTGGATAACGGGCACCTACACACTACTGTAGTCTGTAGCTGTCTGTAAGCGACGCAGCCGCCGACTCGGAGGCTCGGCGCACTAAAATTGTATAATCGTTTGGACACTGAATAAATGAGAAGGGCGACGCGAGAAGAGGGGAGGAAACTGTATACTATTATGAGTATGTCGCGGTCGACGGCAATCGCGCCCCGCGTACACGAGAAAGTTATGTCAAATTAGAAAGGTGAACGGCCGCATCTACGAGTACCTATAGCGAAGACTGTAAGTAATTACTCCAAGTAACCATCGGATTGAATCTGAATCTGAATCTGTGGAAGAGTGGGGAGGGGGGGGGTTGTTTGAATGCCAAATGGAAGGAAGGGTTTCGAAGGAAGGAAGGAAGGGGTTAGGGTAGGGGACGACGGTGCTCAATCTCAATATTAATCGTCAACGTGCATGCGCAAGACGTGTTGCATGAAGCTTGAAGCTGAGAAGCGTCGGATTGTGGTTGCACGTTCGAAAAGTTGCAGAGAGAGAGAGACAGAGAGAGCTAAATTAGCGGACTCATCATGCACGCCCATATGTATACTGCAACGTACATTTGACACAGTGCGCCGTTTCGTTTCGAGGGATTCAGGCCCTGCCTTGAACCTTCCTTGCCTTCTCAGTTTACCGTGACGGCGCGCGTCGGGTCAGGGGAGATGTTTAGGCTATGTATGTCGTCGTCGAGTTTACTCTACTCTACTCTGAATTGGAACATACGCGTACGTACGTGCTTAAGCCTTACTAGCTTACAACAGCAGCAGACTGCAGTAGAGCCAGAGTACATAAGTATCAAGTATCAAGTGAATCTGGGTACGGTACCCGGGATTGTGGTTGTGATTTTATTACGGCTTACGGGCCCGTTACGATACCGATACCAATACTGTATGTATTCGGGTTCCACTGATGGGCTCGTCAGACCCGCTTGTTTGAGCATGTCTAGAAGAATCAACGAGGGAAGGGGCTCTCGGGTGCTAGTCTGAGTTTTTTTTGTTTCCGGGTCGGAGGGAGCAGCCTGTCAATGAGAGCGAGTATCGTTACTTAGAACTTGTTTGACGATTCGAACGTAAGTACCGGACTCGAGTCTCGAGGGAGATGGAGTTGATAGAGTACATGTCATCACGTATAATGATAACAAACATTCGAGGACTGTTATAAGTTATAACTATAGTATTTTAGTATCATGATGTACGTAGAGGACATCAACGCCGTCGCCTTCCATACTTCCATACTTCTACACGCCTCACGCCGTTTCGAGGGATTCAGTCCCTGCCTTCTGTGACGGCGCGCGACGCCCGTCGGGGAGATGTTTAGGCTATGTCGTCGAGTTTACTCTACTCTAAATTAGAACATACGTACGTGCTTAAGCTGTACTTACAGCAGCAGTAGAGCCTGAGTACATAAGTGAATCTGGGTACCCGGGATTCCAGTTGTGATTACGGCTTACGGGTCCGTTACGATACTGTATTCGGGGTTCGGGTTTGACTGAAGGGATTGGGTTTGGGTTTGACGATTGGGGATTGATGCTCGTTTGAAGATACTGGGAGTATGTAAACCGAGAGATGAGATAGATGCAGTACATATCACTATCAGTACGACACAAGACAAGAGGAGGCGTTACAGTTACGGCTGCGAGCGACGGGTGCAGACTCGGTCCAGAAACGGAAATGGAAATGGGTATGTAAAGGGTGAGGGTTATGTTTGTGGCGCAGAACACAGTGTACGAGAGAGCGTGGGAGGATGAGGTGTTTTTGGCGCGAGGGCTGGCGGTAATGAACGCGAAGACGAAGGGGCTGCGCACGGCAGGGTATTCGTTGACAGAAGAGTGGATGGTTGGCTGGGGGTAAAGGGTATTGCAATTGGCGGGCGTGGAGATGAAGACGAAGATGAAGATGTGAAATTGGAAGAGGGCTTCCGAGCGTGACGGGTGCTTCGACGACGGAGATTTGGGAGGTTTGGAATACGAATGATGGATATGTCGTTGTTGTTGTGGTTCTGGCTTGAAGCTTAGGTTAGCCTAGCCTGTGTATATACTTACTCATGTCGCCCGGACGATCACGCAGGAGCCCCCGTTTCGGGGGTACACAGACGCACATTGGCACTGACAGAGAACGCGGCTGGAAATAGAGTGTATTGGGGAGAGGTGCGAGAGAATGGGTCCTTTGGCGGACATAAGATGGGGTTGGAAGCGCTGGGATCGACGGGGCGCGAGAAAAGGCAGGTGGGGGAAAGCTAGAGTGAAGGCTCGGGGAACAGACGTGGGCCGGGGTGTGGTAAGTAAGGCGGGGGTGTACACTGAGAGGTCGAGAGGCGGGATCGAGTGTGGGCAGGATCAGAATCGAGTGTGATCGCCGTTCGTGGCCCAACTCCGCGAGTGTGGCGAGGGAACGTAATGGCCGCATTGGGAGTGCTGATCGGGGCGCGGCAATCTGCGGCACTGGCCCGATCTGTTGAGAAAAAGGGCGACGGAGATGAAAGCGAACGGCGCGTACGGTGCTGCTCTTACGCTTTTGCCATGCCTCCTTTAATTATAACAAGCTGCTCCTCCTCCCTCCGTCCTCTCCCTCCCCACACTCCTCCTTCTCCCCATGTTCAGACGCTCTCTCCACGCCCTCCCGACTGAGCTCCTCCACAACATCGCCCAAGCCCTCGTCGCAACCAACCCACTCGGCCCGCCCCGCGAGCTCATCCCGCTCATTCTCACATGCAGAGCCTGGCATGCCATCTTCACCGCTGACACCCTCCTTGCAGCCATCTGCCGCCTCAAGTTCGACACCGCCGCCGTCACCCGCCGCGCATTCACACCGCACACGCACGACCTCGCCGAGCAGCTCGTCCACGCGTGCACTCTCCTCCGCGCCATCCGCGCCGGAGACGTGTATGACATCGACGCGCACGAACATCTGTTCACGGCGTACATGCTCATGCTGGATAATGACGGCAAGAACTATGCGCAGCTCGAGTGGGCGGGGATGGGGGCGTACGTGGCCCGCTTCGTGCGCCGCCGGTTGTGGGAGGAGTGTGCGGCGAACGAGGGCTGGCCTGTCGACAACGCTGCGAATGCGTGTGCGCTGTGGCTTATGTGGATGACCACGACGCGGGGTGCGTCTGACTGTCTCTACGTTGTTTCGGGACACTGACACGTCGTGCAGAGAAACTCCACGCTGAAACACCACAGGAGCGCGAAGAGCTCGTCCTCCAGATCCTACCTTTCGTCGTCCTTCCTCAACGCGTGCGTCCCCCTCTCCCCCTCTCCCTTTCTTCCCCCCCACTAACACCCC